GCTAGCTGACTAACACAAAACATTATATTCATTACTTGCCTTGCATTCAGGACGTAAGGCAAGGTAATAGCTCCTGCCAATGGAGAAACAAGTTCAGCACCTCAGGTTTTGCAAAAAGAAATATTAGATTCACTGCCATGTTATATGCATAGTAGCTGAGGTGAAAATAAATGAGAGAGAGTCTGTTGATATTGTAGGATCACAGTGATACAGAGCTACTTTTAACCTGGTCTACAATCTGCATATGGAAGTACTGGGGTTTTGACAAGCATACTATTATTTCTCAGAAAACCATGGCACATTCCATAAAATTTAAAAAAAAAAAATAAGAGTTCCTTGAGAGAGGTAATGATAAATAAAAAATATGACAGCTGAGAGGTGTGAACTTTAAGCATTTATCATATCTGTTGGGTCAACTCTTCAACCAACAAGAACATTTTAAAGATCTGGTAAAGGAATGATTACCAATAGAAGAACTAGGAAAAAAGATAGAAAAAAGTTGGAAATTTTGATACACAACATAATCAGACTCCTTTCAAACAAAAGTAGACTTACAACACTATTATACAAAGTTAGAACTATTCTAGCTAATTTGTGAACTACTGATTTCAATCAAAACTCCAAAAAATACATTCCTAATCCTCACACTCTCTCTCAAACACACACACACACACACACACACACACACACACACACACACACACACACACTTGAGACATGAAATGACCAGAGATAGGTTGAAGCACTGCATTAAACTCTGACAATTTTAATAAGACAAATTCTGGCTGTCCACATGTAATTTAAGAGCATTCAAAAGTAAAACAGAGCAGAAATTTTATTTTATTTTCATATATTACCAGAAAAACAACACAATCAGGAAATGTAGAATAAAATCAGGTAGAACACAAAACTGTAAATAATACTAAATTGTTAAAAACAGTTTAAGAAATTAAATGAATTCCTTTAGAGAAGGATACATATCTAGTGTATCCCTCTAAAATTTGAATGAGCAGCTAAGTATGCTTAGGAGTTCCCTAGGAATTTGCTACAGTAATCATTTGACTTTATGTACCATTGACTATGTTCCACCTCACCAGTCATCATTAGTTCAGTTTCATCTCAACCCAGTTCAAGCCCCACTATATGGCCTGCTTAGTTTTCACATAGCATTATAGAGAAAATAAGTAGCCATCTTTACCAGAAAACGAACAGTCAGTCCTTCATTCCTTCTCTTATCAACTTGTTAATTTGTTTATTTATGAGATTTTGGTCTAAATTCTGCCTTCCTATTAGACATTTACAGTATATTAAGTTCATAATATTCCAAGTGACAACAGAAGAATAAATGATAAGAGGATTGGATCTACTCTTCTGATTTAGGATGAAAAAAATTCCTTATTCCTACAATTCTATCATTATCACAATAGCAATAAGTTCCTGCTAGAAGATTTTTTTTAACATTTCCAGGGTCAGGATAGAAGAATAAATAAAAATACCCCTCCACTGTCAAAATGGAAGGAACAATTTTAATGAATGAAATTCCCCCCACAGATTTGGGAGAAAACATTTTTTGTCCCAATTCTCTCAATGCTTATGCCATAACCAAATGCTTGTATTAGTAACTCAATAACTTAATTTATCTTCTAGTAATCTCTCAACAGCATTCTTCTCCAATCCAGCATCATCCTTTTGTGTTTGACTACACCTCCCTTAATTCCCAGTCAGAATGGCTATGATTAGGAATTTGGGGACTAGTACAGAAGGAAAATCATGAGAGCAAATGTTTATTAACTGAAAGCAAGGGCATTACAGAGCACTACTCCATGGCTGATAGGCTGAGAATTGTTTTTTTTTTTTTTAAAAAAAAAAAAGGAATCTAATACTGTACCTTTGCTTAAAAATACCTAATTATCCCACACAAGCTAACATTTTGTATCAGAAATTTGCAAAGATATGCTTGCTGTCTAGTTTGTTCAGCTTGATCCAATATTTGATTTATTGCTATTGGAAATTCTTTTCCCATTTACACTGTGTCACTAAAAATCCGTTGTACAAAGAAAATTTAAATTTTGTCTCACTCTCTTACCTCTGATTTTTTTCTATGAATAACCAAACAATGAAGTTTTATTAATAGTGGCTAGAAGTAATGTTTCCTGACAAACAAGATTAGGATTACAGTCAAAATGTGTATTTATACTGAAGGGGACAGTTGTACTAGCAAAGAAGTATTTCTGAAACTAAATTCACAATAGTCTTTTCCCCCTTGTGTTGTAAATCCCTCTCTCAATAGAATAGAATAGAACCTTAGAGATCTTCTAGCCCAGAGGTCCCCAACCTTTTGGGCACTAGGGACCAGTTATATGGAGAGTTTTTTTCCACGGACCAGGGGGGGCGTGGTTTTGTGTGCTGCCTGCATCCCATGGATGCGGCTTTGCTTGTTTGTACAGACCGGTTGCTGGCATACCGTGGCCCAGTACTGGTCCACGGACTGAGGGTTGGGGACCCCTATTCTAGTCCAGCCCCCTGTTCAAGCAGGAGAACCTATACCATCCCAGACAAGTGACTGTCCAGTCTTTTCTTAAAAACCTCCATACATGTTTGTCAAAGATATTAACAAAAAAAACAAAACAAGAAAAGATACACAATGCAGGAACTATATCTTTAACTCCCAAGCCTCATTTTTCTGGATCATGCTTTTGGATTATGTAGTGCACTGAGAAAAGTTGCATTAATCCTGCTTAAAAGGAAACCATGTTTAATTGTTACAATTAGTGATCAACACCATAGGTCCCAGTTTGGTTCTATATTTCTAATCTAAAGCAACTCCCAAGCCTTATATAGAGGCATTCACATTTATCTGTTGACCGAAATCAAAAGCTGTGGGTAGAACCTACTTATATCTGAATTATGAAACAGGCTCTCGTTTTTAATCAATATCTCCAGACATTGCTATAAAGATTTTGCTTTCTCCCTAAGATTACTTTATGGACCGCTTCCTCTCATGTAAAATTGCCAGACAATTAAGGAAAGTTTCAGAGGCATTAATGTGACTCTAAAAAATTGCCCAGTCAAGACCTGTCAATAATTTTATTTTTTATTACATTTATCAGCCATGCATTTTGCTGTGATGCAACAATCTTACTTTAATACATCCCTTCAAAACTAAAAATAATTCAATTTAAATAATTTCAGTTAGCATTTTTATTAACGTTGGCTATAATATATACTTTTATGTCCTTAATAAATGTTTTGTTTTCATATTTCAGGGCTATGTAGAATTTATATGTGTATGCACATGCATGCATACACATACCTTTCTATGTATATTCTGAAAGTCTATTTGGAAAAAAACAGACAAGAAGAGAAAAATATTATGAAAATCTATCCAGCTTTCACAAGTGTATTTACAATTACCATGATAAAATAGCAATCCACATGCTTCTGTTGAAGATATTATTGCTGATGTGTTATAGCAATGTCTCCATGAAAATTTGGACAGTTCTTGCATTGTAAGCATAATATTATGAACTACAGTTAAATGTTCTTAAATTAGTTCCCTCCCACAGACAAAAAAATTAAGAAATGTGAATTATTATTACTTAAATTTACTCATTCAACTGCAATGGACATAACCTATACATAAACTGAAATCCAATTCTATTGGATTAGGAAGGTATGAGTAAACTATGTATATGTAGTTTATTCCAGCATTCAGAGACATTCTCTAAAACAAGTGTCTTCAAGCTTGGCCCTTTTATGACTTGTGGACTTCAACTCCCAGAATTCCTCAGCCAGGCACGCTGGCTGAGTAATTATGGGAGTTGAAGTCCACAAATCATAAAAGGGCCAAGTTGGAAGACCCCTGCTCTAAAATATGAAAAGCACCCAGTCTGACAAGTTATCTCTGCTCCTTGACTTATAATCATTCGAAGTTATAATGGCACTGAAAAAAGCAACTTATGACTGGTTTAACACTTACAACTGTTGCCACATTGACAATGGTCACATAATCAAAATTCAGGCACTTGGCAACAGGCCTGTATTTATAACAGTCGCAACGTCTCCGAGTCACATGATCACCATTTGCAATCTTCCCAGAGGATTTCTGACAAGTAAACTCAATGGGGAAGCCAAATTCCCTTAACAACTGCAGTGATTCCCTTACTCTGCCTGCAAAGGTCATAAAATGAAACACAACACTCACTTTGCAACTGACTTGCTTAGCAATGGAAATTTTGGGCTCAGTTGTAGTCGTAAGATGAAGATTACCTGTAATAGTAAAGCCAGCACCCACACTTTTTTTTTTAGGTTAAACTATCAAGAAAGAAAAAGTTCTGGAGAACTTAAAAACTTGTTTGATATTTTGTAATATTTATAGTTATATTGCCTTACGAGGATCTTGGATTTTTTTCCCCATGGCCAAGCAATTCAATTTGCTTTTTGATTGATTAAGGGCCACCAAGTAATTGTCAACTCTTAGTAACCACATAAATAGATTTTATCCATGACAATTTGCTTTTTATATCCGTCAACAGAGAGTAGATTGTTTCTTTGTACTGGCCCAATTACATTCGATCTAATATTAATAATTCAATAGAACCGACTCATTTGAGAATATAAATCCTGGTTTCCTTCATTTTTGCATCATGCTCTAATCCAAGGGTCTTCAAACTCGACCCTTTTATGACTCATGGACTTCAACTCCCAGAATTCCTCAACCAGCGTGCCTACTTCTACTTCTAGGAGTTGAAGTCCATGAGTCATACATACATACTAAGTCAAACTCCATCTCTGAATGGTTGCTATCACGCATTCTAAATTATATCTTTCAAAATATTCACCATTGATAAATGATTCTAGTCAGGTGGGACTGACTAGTGTAAAAGGCATCCTGTAGCTACAAAGTGGTCTGATAACAAAGATTAAACTATATCATTTCTGCTGAGGACTCAGAAGAACTTAGACAAAGAAGAATGCCTATTTCATTTAGTCAAACAAACCTTCTGCCTCTTGGTGATAATTTGAATCTTTCCTTTTTCTTCCCTGGGAAAAGGAATTTTCAAACTTCTCTATCTCCTTCTTATGTTCTTGTTCTGTTTGTGCACTAGAGGGAGAAGAAAGGAAAGATACATGAGTAAATAAATTCCAAAGCTTTAGTCAACAGTTCCAAATGAACATTTCTTTCTCACTGTGAACTTCAAGCATGAGGTCTTTTGTAAAGCTTTGCAGATAATTATTCTTCTCAATTCCCCTTCTATAAAATAGTTTGCCCTCATGCTTCTGAACCACTCTCCCCGCACATTTTTTTCAGGGTTGTTAAACTATTACTCTGTCAGAACATTTGGGGAACATTAAGACCTGCTCTGACCCTGGAGGATAGCTCTGTTAACTGCTCCTCTCCTCTCCCCTGTCCTCCCCTCCCTTCCCCTTCCCGTCTTTTATAGTTAGAATTTAGACTGTTTCAAAACTTTTTTTAAACACCACTCAAAGCTTGTGGAAATAAAATATCAATAAATAAATATATCAGGTACAATTCACCCACTCCATTGTATAGGTATCATTGACTTTCAAACCTTAAAAATTGTATTTATTTACTCTAAAAATATTAGACAACAGTCTTTCCTACCCAACCATTTTCTAGATTATGTTACTGTAACAATGCCTCTGTCAACGCTGTGACAATGGATGTCGATGCTCTGACAACTGAGAATCAGCAGCCATTTTACTTTTGCTTTTAACATGCCTTTTTAAAATTCTTTTAGAGTTCAGATGTAGAAGTGGGGATCCGGTAAATGCTTGAGGGTTAGCTAGCCATAACAATGCAGAAGTGTGGGAATTCAGGAACATGGTCCGATAAGCTTTTGGTGGGCTGAGGAGCCGGAGAGAAAACCCTGTGGGTTTGAGCAAATTGGGGAATGTGATTTATGACAGCTTTTGTGGAGTGGGAATTGCAACTTGTTATTTTGTATCTGGAAGGAGGGAATCTCAGTTTTGGGTTCAACTATGTAAGTGCCAATACTTTGTTTCCTAATAAAATGTTTTTTAAGGAAGAATTATTGTCTTGAAATTCTTTTACTGGTTTCATCTATCGGAACCATGACAGCCTCACATTTGGCCAAACTGCAACCTTCTTGTACATTGTTTTGATCTCCAACTTTTGTTTTCCAATATGAGGCTGTACTGAAATTTTGTTCAATATAAAATACTTTAATTTCTAAGGCCACTCGTCTGAACACCAAGTGACTTTCAGGTGGTTTACAGTTCTAAAACAATAACATACTTCAACACAATAAAAACACCCCCCAAAATATTTTTAGTAGCTGAGATAATCAATTAACAGTAGAACCAAGAATTAGGGCCCTTAATATATTTGGGGCCCCAGGCCTAGTTACACAGTCAAGTTGTTAAAGCCTTATGAAAGGCCAACTGAGTTGGGGCCATTCTAATCTCTGAAAGGAGAATATTGCAGAAGTCAGGGGCTACAGCACAGTGCTTCCCTGTTGCCAGCTGACCCTGTTTGGCTAATGCGATTCCCAACATGCTCAGTCTAGATGAATAGAAACTCTTGGGCAGGCCAGTAGGCCAGTCCCAACCCATATAAGATTTTAAGGGGGGCAACTAACACCTTGAACTGCACCCAGAAACCCATTGGTAGCCGATGCAGCTCACATAATAATCTATCCAATACCGTTTACCCCCATGCAGCCACATTCTGCACCAGTTGAAGTTTTCAAGTGTTCTTCAAAGGCAGCCCTATGTATAGCACATTGCAGTAATCTTTAGGATTATTTTTTTATTATTAATCAATTGAATATGTGAACTCCTGATACTGAAGAAAAATCTATTCCAAAAGTTAACTACCTCTCTATTTTCCCTATATCTTTTCCAGGTAAATTCCTCTGAAATTACTGTACCTTTATCAAGATAAAAAGTAAAAATCCATGCTCCTTTCTTTTCTCAATTCTTCAAGCTAGATAGAAACCTAATGCATATGATTCTTAGTGTAATGCTACTGAAATAACCACATTTTTTTTCTGCCCTGGTCCTCTTTTGTTGCCATTCCTGTCTATTTTAATTGCAACTCTTTTTAGTATCCAGCTTAACCATGATTTACTTAACCATTTGTTGAATAATTGCACAGTTGGCTGGTTTTGATTATATCACATTGGGTTATAAATGTTGGCTTGACTTACACAAAAGGCAAATACATGACACTGTGCTGTGAACTCATTGTGATTTCCTGCATACCTCATTTTTTTGTAAAGCATAATCCACACAAGGACATAAGAAGCCTCCATATATACAGTGTGACCATGGGTCCAGATAGCCCAGTAATGTCCAGGACAATAATCCAGGTCTTCAGGAAGAAGTTATTCAACCCTACTTACAGATGCTGGGGATGGTCTTCTTGCATTTCAAGTGCACACTTCATAATAAAACATGACAGTATCATGACTGCTAAACAATAAGCTGCATTTACTTTTTCTATTAGCTCTCGGAGTAAGGATTTGTCACAACTGTTCTTTGAAAACACCTTGATTGCTGACAACTCTCAGAAGGAGGAGGCTGCAGTAGCAGCAGTAGTAATAACAGCAGTAGTAATAACAGCAACAACATTTCTTTCATTTATGCACAAACTAATCAAAATGATAATATCCCTGAAGAATAAGAAAGGGACTTTTCTAAGACACTTGCAGGGAGGATCATATCAAATTCAACTGAGAATGTTCTTTTTTTTTTCCCCTCTGCAAAGTTCCTGCCATTCCAAAGCCAGTGCCGGATGAAATAACATCAAACTGATGAGCTATCTGAAAAGGCTGTACTCAATTCCCATTTATTTTATTCACCTCTAAATTACTGAGAGTACAGAAAAGTCTTTATGAACGTAAGTATCCAAACATTCAAGCATATGTGCGCACCTGAAGGTTTTGTTTCATCAATTTGGAAGGTGTAATGTGCATCTTTTTAAGAAAAACAGAGGCATTATACCAAGTCAAACTAAAAAGAAACCCAAACATTAAGCATATCTCACACATTAAACCAATGTAAGAGGTTTCTTGACAGTGAAATATTATATTTTCAATGTAACTGAGTTGAAGCCCCTGAATATTAAAATGTAATTCCTTATAGGCTTAGAAAGTTCTAACTGCATTTAAGGGAATGTTTTCTGCCTACCATCCTTAAGCCGATTAGGTTATTAACAACAAGAAACAAATCCAGCATTTTAATACTAGTTCCTACTGAATCAAACCTGCATTATTCAGGAAAAAGCATATATGAATTTCTTCCTTATTCATATTCTGCTGTATGCAGTCATCCAAACAATAAATACCCAGAGTGAAACTTTGATATGCATGAGACAGATATTCTGACAATGGCTGCTACAATTATGCAAAGTGAAGAGAGATGATATTGGCAGCAAAATCTAACCATCCCAATTTCCAGGAAGACATACTACAAAAAGGGATTAATATGATGGTGCTCTGCTGGCAATATCAGGAATATCAACTAGTATTCCTTAATACTGTAAGAATAACAACGTGTTATTCACAAAACTGTTATACTTATGGAAATTTACTGGAGCAACTTGTGACTTTCCCTGCTGGCTTCCCTACTGAATGAGAAGCCAGCAGGGAAGGTCACAAATGGTGATCATTTGAGAGCAGGATGCTGCAGCTGTCGTAAGTATGAGCCAGTTTCCAACCACCCATATCCTGAACACACGACTATGAGGACGGGATGTAAGTATCATTAGTTCAGGACCATTGTAACTGCAAACGGTTGCTTAATGGGTGGTATACTTGTATTGTTTATTTATTTTCAATTTCTTATTATCATTAAAGGATAAAGAATACCTGAATCTGTCAGCAATGTAGACATGCCAATACGGTAGTGAATCACGTGGCTTATCAGAAAATACCCAAATTATTATGTTCTCTCCACTGGCTCTAGAATGCTCCTTATTCTCTTATTAACTCATAAAAGGTAAGGGTAAAGGTTTTCCCTATCAAATTGTGTCCGATTCTAGGGGGGCGGCTGATTACTGTTTCTTAGCCAAGGGAGTCAGCATTGTTCAAAGACATTTCTGTAGTCATGTGGCCAGCATGACATCACGCCACAGCAAAGAGCATGCAGCAAAACACAGAAAGTTTTTACCTTCCCACCAAAGTAGTACCTATTTATCTATTCGCATGTTAATGCTTACAAACTGCTAGGTGGGCAGGAGCTGGGGCCAGAACGGGAGATCGGCCTATCATGCAGCATCAGGGTCTTGAATCGGGGCTGTTAGCTTTCCAGCTGACAAATTCAATTTCTTAATATCTGAGTCATCACACTCCCAATTAACTCATAAATAGTAGTGCAATTCTTGCCATCAATTCTTCAGATAGCTGTTTCATGTTTGTAATCTAAGATAAAACACTGTTCTGCCTTGGTTCCATCATAGAAAATGTGGCTTTCTGTGTGATGTACTAGTTACAATAGAGACTGGGGAGACCCAAGTTTAAACCAGCCTTAATCACAAAAGCTGTGATTAGATAGTCCAAAAGTCATGAGTTGACTTTTGGACTATCTGTCATTACTCAGACCAGTCTATTCTGCTTACATAAGGTGCTCTGAGTTCCTGACATGTGCTTCTGATAACATTATTCTACTAGAAAACAAAGGACCAGTTGGAAATGAAAGCTTTTTTTCTTTCACAGTTTTTAAATCCCAAAAATTTGGAAGAATTATTGGCTCCTATATTATTGTGATCAAGTAATTGTTGTCTTATTCCAGTGATGGCGAACCTTTTAGAGACCAAGTTACCCAAACTGCAACCCAAAACCCACTTATGTATCGTCGGGTGCCGGGTGGGTGTGGCCCATTGGGTGTGGCCCATTGGGTGGGCGTGGCTGCTGTGGTAACAGCAGACTGGGCGGGACTAAAAAGTTCAATCAATCAATTCCAACTTTGCAAGTTGAAATTGACTGATTGATTGAACCTTTTTTTTTTTTTTGTACACGGCGGCAGAGGCCTAAAGTGAAAAGGTTTTATAAAAGCCAACTGAAGGCCTAGGACTGGGGCGACGGCATGCGTGCCCACAGAGAGAGCTCTGAGTGCCGC